ATATATATATATATATATATATATACTGTGTATCTGTGTGTATATATGTGTGTATGTATATGTGTATGAATGTGTGCGTGTGTTGCGTACTTGTGTGTGTTGCATATGTGCGTGTGTACCGTGTGCGCATCCGTCCGTCTCGCCGTATCACTAAAGGTTGACTTAGGCCTGCTCAGGCGTGACAAGCAGACATGACATCGCTAATGTCTGGTGTCCGTTTGGGCTGAAGTGCTTCCTTGTTATTTACGTGGAAACCAGGTTTCCTTTTCCATTGATTTGCTGACTCTGGGGAAATCAGCTCAATTTGATAGTGATGCTATGTGACAGGAGGCATAAACAGTCGGTGTACATTCAAGGCTATAAATGCTTGTGGCTTATCTGTGGAGCGCTTGCACTGTTACAATAAAACGCTGCGTACGGTGTCTACGAGAGAGGAAAACAAAAGAACTCGTAGCCTTTGAAAGCATTTTTTTTTTTAATCAGGATTTTTGGAAAGACATGTTTCAGGTTTGGAGTATGCCCAGGTGTTGGTGGAGGACAGTACAGTTGGTCTGCAGCATCCTGTGGGTGTCAATGTTGCTCCCTGACAAATCCTTCCAAGACCAGAACCAACATTGTGACTTCATCCCAGGTTCTATGAGCCTGCCCGTGCTGGAAAAAAGAGGGGACATCATCTTAGGGGGGCTCTTCTCCCTTCACGATATGGTGATGGAGCCCAGTTTGACATTCACCACCAAGCCCCCACCCACACAGTGCACCAGGTAATCACTTTGAGGAGATGATATCAAGAGAGCGTATTTCATTTGAATCCCATTTTCCCCACAGATTTAACTTCCGGACATTCCGCTGGATGCAGACCATGATTTTTGCCATTGAGGAGATCAACAGGGAGGGAAAACTGCTTCCCAACATCACTCTGGGATATAAGATCTATGACTCGTGCAGTAGCCCTCACCAGGCTCTCAAGGCCGCCATGGAGCTGATGGGCAGCGAGGACGCTTCCATGCCTGAAGGGGGGCTGCGGGGCCAAAGTATCTGCAGGGGGGCCGTACCTGTCGTGATAGGGGATGGAGGCTCCACCCAGTCTCTGGTTGTGGCCCGTTTCTTGGGGGTCTTCCACGTGCCGCAGGTGAGAGGCAAATCCAATTTTAGTTCTGTCTCTCTCTCTCTCTCTCTCTCTCTCTCTCTCTCTTTGTTTTAGTTTTTTTTGGTAATTGAATTCATTCCAAAGCCAAGAATTTTGGAAGCATTTTGAGTCAAAGTGGATTTTTATGCAGAAGGTTGACGCAGGTTTGGTGAATAATGAATTACATGTCAGAATTTGTAATCTAATTACAAAATGTCGGTAAGTAATCCATTATATTACTGAGAGAAAATATGTACTTAAATCACAATTGCTTTTTGGAAAGTTTGATTATTTCAATTTTTTTCTTTACAAATTAAAAATACCCAATAAAAAAAAGGACATTTTACAGAAATGTTTGAACACGTTTACCCTACGCTGTTGCTGCTGGACCAAGAGGAAAAATAGTTCCTGCAGTTCAGTTTTTCATTTTAAATAAATAAGCAATCAAATGTAATTAGTTAGATTACCTTGACTAATTAAATGAAATAGTGAAAATATGCGACTATTATATTTTCAACAGGGTAACTTGCAACTGTCACTACCGTACATTTCCAAAGTAATCTTCCCAACACTGTGTGTTCTTTATTTTCTCTTAGGTCAGCTACTTTTCTAGCTGTGCTTGTCTGAGTGACAAAAAGGAGTTTCCTGCTTTTCTAAGGACCATGCCCAGTGACTTCTTCCAGGTGAGTGACCCTCACGGTCCAGATGTCTTTGTGCAGACGTTTGAAAGTTTTATAAACTGAACAAATTATTTCAAAGTAGAGTGGATGGATGGATGGAGTGTTGTGCAGTGGAGAACAGAGGATTACAAAAAAAAAGGAAAAAATAGGAACTGGCTTGGTATGCTCGACTTTGGCCTTCAAATAGCAGACAGAAGTCTGTAGCCTCAAGCAGGAGTGACAAACAACTGTCTGAAGGTTATCGAGTTGGAAAAAAAAAACCTTGAATAAAGCCTGTTTGAATTCAGGAGTTTAAGCCTTCTGAATATTGTCAGCTCAAAATGCAGCTTGAAACTGTACAATCACGCTTTGTGGTGAATGGTACCATTTGTCTGTGTAGGTAGTAGCCTGATGGAAATGTTACATTTTGAATGATTTTTTTTGTTGTTGTATATGTTCATCTATATTCCTGGACCAAAATCTGTTTCAGTTGAGAAACAGTGTTTATTTTTTGGAATAGTTGTATTATTTCCTTCATAAAGAAAATGTATTCCAAAGTAAGCCCAACCACGATTAAATGTATCACTGTCGCCTTTATTTTACATTTTGTGGGGTTTTGGATGGATATGAGTTCACTTTGGGTGCTGCTATCGACAATTTCTAATGATGAAAAGTTATTTCATGTTGTTGTTGTTGTTTTAAAATCCAAGATGTTTTGTAATGCTTTCACCGCGTGTATCTGTGATTGTTGTGATAAATTTGGTAATTGTGTTCGTGGTGTGAATTCTTCTGCCAGATTCAATGTGGGGTGAGGTGACTGTGGTGTATATTTATTTTAGGTGAATGCACTGGTCCAACTGGTCAAACATTTCGGCTGGAGCTGGGTGGGTGTGATTGCAGGGGACGATGCGTACGGTCGTGGTGGCGCGAACATCTTTGTTCATGAAGTGAGTGAACAACAATGGCACCATCTCAATGCGGTCACCACAGTACATGTCACACTGAGTGAGTGAATTTAAGACAGGGTCCTGAATATACTATTTGTGGCACGTTTGTTGAGTGGTGTGCCGTGAAATGTATCTAGTCTTTCAGTATGTGCCTTGGCTCAATATAACACCGTACATCTCAGGTCAGACAACTCGGCGCCTGTGTGGCCCTTCATGAAATCATCCCCAAAAACCGAGCACGCAAGGCAATTTCATCCATCATTTCCAACATCCGCTCCTCCGGGGCACGTGTGATCCTGGTGTTTGCCGTGGAACAGGACGCCGCAGCGCTCTTCGATGAAGCTCTCCGGTGCGATATTTCTTGATTTTTAAATCACGTCGTGTGACATTCTCTGAAATACAGTATCATTATATCGTTGCAGGGAGGGTCTGGATGGGATCCAGTGGCTTGCCAGCGAGGCTTGGAGCACAGCGGCTGTTCTCTCTACTCCCAAGAAGTACCGTGCCATCCTGCAGGGCTCCATGGGCTTTGCCATCCGTCGAGTGCACATCCCCGGCCTGCAGGACTTCCTGCTCCGCCTGCATCCATCTAGCCCCGATGCGAGCGAAGACCCATTTCTGATACCATTTTGGGAAGAAGTTTTCCAATGCAGCCTGGGTGAGAGGAACGTTAAACTGCCATGCACTGGCGCAGAAGATCTGAAGACGGTGGCAAATATCTACTCGGATGTGTCCCAGCTGAGGATATCTTACAATGTCTATAAAGCGGTGCATGCTATAGTGTATGCACTGAGGAGTATGGGAGGCTGTGAAGATGGGAAAGGTCCTTTTGCTCTTCAGGCGTGTCCAGATGCACATAGTATCAAGCCATGGCAGGTATTTTTTTACCAAATACACCACTCACAATAAATTAGGGTTTTTCCAGAATTAACCTAAAATGCGCTGGAACTGGTGGCCTGGTGGTCAAGTGGTTAGCGCGACAACCTCACAGTGCAGAGCCAGCTGCAGCCTCCCTGTGTGGAGTTTGCATGTTCTCCCCGGGCCTGCGTGGGTTTTCTCCGGGTACTACGGTTTTCTCCCACATTCCAAAAACATGCATGGCAGGCTGATTGAACACTCTAAATTGTCCCGAGGAGTGTGAGCGCGGATGGTTGTTTGTCTCTGTCTTCCCGGCGATTGGCTGGCAACCGGTTCATGGTGTCCCCCCCCCCACTGCCTGAAGACGGCTGGGATAGGCTCCAGCACACCCCCCTTGCGAGATAGGCGGATTGGAAAATGGATGGATTTGCTAGAACTTTTCCATGTGAACTTCACTCCGTTAAGTTGATTAGAAACCTGCCGTTTACAACCATTTTGTCAAGTCTGTATTGACTGTAATGACGAATAAATCCCTGTTGGCATTGCAACACTTATTAGAAATCAGCACAGCTTTTGAGTTGAAGATTAAGGTGAGCAGGCGAATCTTGGCTTGCCACGTCAACTCAGAGGGAGAGAAACACCACCTTGCTGCAAATCAGACACGTGTGGGCAGTTCACAGAGTGTACACATGTCGGGTATGAACAGAGAACATGTGGGGGCATGAACGGAGAATGTGTGTTGCCTCCTATTTCATGGAGTGAATGGAAACCGCCATGTAAAAGAAAAAAAGCCTCATTCGAGGCGATTGTAGTCTCGTTTTAACAGGGACACCAACCCTTTTTAAACCGATACACACTTCTTTGGTACTGATCCATGCAAAGGACTACCAGTAAATTTCTGAGATGAAACAAAATTGCTCAAAATTCAGTCCATTGTTCTTCTTAATGATTGACATTATTCATCCATGTAAAGACTGATCATTTTCATGATTTCTGACAATAATAAGCAAAGATTTTTTTCACAAGGTTGGAAACAGATTTCAGGTGACCGAGCACAATGGGCACAACAACAGCTGCATCAGCAACCACAAACCATTTCTATAAATATTTCCAAATGTTTACATTTACAAATTTTCAAACAGGATGTTGTCAGAAGGATGTGGCCAATGGTCTTACAAGTGCCAGTTTTTCATCAACAGGTTGCCACAAAGGTACAGAGAGACTGGAAGAGGCACAAAAAGGCATAGAAGTTGACGTCCTTGGAAATGTATTGGTCCACTGATGGATCAAACCACAGAAAAATTGAACACTTGGATATTTTAGGTTCATCCTAAAATGTCATTGCTGAAAACCTTTTTGAGAGGGATTTTTGGTTCTGAATCATCTCACCAGTACTCTTTGTCCTTAGCTGCTTCACTACATAAAACAAGTGGAGTACTTCAACTCCTTTGGGGATGAAATCGCATTTGACGAGAATGGCGACCCGGCGGCCATGTACGACCTGGTCAATTGGCAGCTGAAACCAAGCGGAGCGATCCAGTTTGTCACCATCGGAAAGTTTGACGAGACGGTCGGAGACAGACGGCAGAAGCTCCAAATCCAAAGCGAGGACATCGTGTGGAACGGCAACCAGACCCAAGTAGAGACGGCATTGAAATACCGGTTGAAACACAACATTATGTACATCGTCCAACACAAGAGCTGGATCAAAAATGCCAACAAGAATGTTCCATCACTGCAACTGAGATGAAGCTTTCCAACAGTGGGCGGAACATTTTTGGGTCGTCTTGAGAGCTCAGTTTACCATGCGCATCGCAAGGTGAGCCCTTGAGTGCTGAGACGTCAATTTCAGTCCACAGCAGGTGGCGGTATAAGACAAAATGGCGCCCCCTGAGTTGGATAGAAACGATCGGGGTTTTCTGCAGAATCCTGATTACACAATATTAATCAGAAGGCACATAAAGAGCATTTTGGACTCGACTTCTGCTTTGGTCCACCATTTTCATGCAAGTTTCAGAAGAATTTTGGATCCAGCTCTTGTCTTGCTTATCTTTAGCTCGTGCGTGTGTGTGTACCTAATGAAGCATCTCGTGACTTTGTCAGTTTTGTTGTGTGACTACCTAGCATGGGTGTCAAAGTCAAGGCCCGGGGGCCAGATCTGGCCCGCCACATCATTTTATGTGGCCTGCAAAAGCAAATCAAGCATGTCAAGTTCCATGATGCTTGCTAAAGTCTGAACCAAAATTTCAAATTGTCATATATAATCTACAATCACAGTCATTATTCTTGACTTCTGATTTTAAAAGTAGTTATTCATCAATTTGTTATGCGCTGTAAATGTAATATGTGCAGGTGATTAAACATTGATATGGTTTCCCAAAATTCGTAACGGCCCTCCAAGGGAAACCGTAACTACAATGTGGCCCGCGACAAAAATGAGTTTGACACTCCTGCCTTGTAGGAACCAGTGTAGTTTGTGTTGCCCCTTTTGCACAGGTCCCGCTATCAGTATGCAGCAAGATTTGTCCTCCCGGCACCCGCAAGGCGATCCGACCTAACTTCCCTATCTGCTGCCATGATTGCGTGGTTTGTACAGCAGGGGAGATTAGCAATCAGAGCGGTGAGGATACTCGCTATTCGTACGTGACAAGACTCTCTGGTGAGTGTGCCAACGGGCTCCTGTTCTACTTTCTAGACGCCATAGAGTGTGTGCGTTGCCTACCCGAGTTCTGGTCCAATGGCGAGAGGACCGCCTGCATCCCCAAACAGGTGGAATTCCTTTCATTCAGCGACACCATGGGCATCACGCTGATGGCCATATCCCTCATTGGCTCCTTCTGCACCTGCGCCGTGGTCGTTGTCTTCTCCTTCCACAGGACCACCCCTGTGGTCAGGGCCAACAACTCAGAGCTGAGCTTCCTTCTGCTCTTCTCTTTAACTTTGTGTTTCCTTTGCTCGCTCACTTTCATCGGCCGGCCTTCCGAGTGGTCCTGCATGCTGCGCCGCACGGCGTTCGGTATCACGTTTGTGCTCTGCATCTCTTGTATCCTGGGGAAGACCATCGTGGTGCTGATGGCATTCAAGGCTTCACTTCCTGGGAGTAGAGTCATGAAGTGGTTTGGGCCCACACAGCAAAAAGCCATTATTAGTCTTTGTACACTGGTGCAGGTGAGGGCTATTCATAGATTACATTTAGATTGGTAATGATAATAGTAAAAGCTTCGCTTCAGCATAGCTGCTGTTCGGAGCCTACGTATTGGCATATTCGCAGATTTTTCTCCCAATTTTTTTTCAATATTTCTAAGTGTTTTTTTTCACAGGATTTTCTTTTCCACATTTATCCCCACCCCTATTTTTCGTGGAAAATGTACAATATATTGAATGTTTAGCTGTGTTTTTGCAGACTTTTTGGGCGGGTTGTAATTAAAACAAAAAAGAAAGAAAGAAATCATTCCCCCAAATAGATTTCTATGGGCATCAATTATACACAGCTTGTCGCTATTCTGTGGTTTGGGGAGGGTTTTTTTTTCATTGTGATTTTTTTTTTCAATTGAGTTAGTTTTAATGAGTTTTTTTCTAGTTTTCATTTATTTTTACTTTTTTGAAATAGTTTTAGTTTAGTTTTTATTCGTTTTTGTGTTTGTTTGAGTTTTTCTGATTACATGCAGTATTTGTGGAAAAGAAAAAAAAGGTCATTAAGTAATAAAGTAGAGTAAACAATTCTCCAACAGCTTTCAACTATATGGCCTTGCAGTAGTACCAAAATAAATACATTTGAAATAAGCCCCAAAAAGAGCACACGGACAGTAATACAAAAAGAATGCAGTTTTAGTTATTTGTAATTTTTTGAAAAGCTCAGGTTTTTTTTGTGGATAATTTTTTTGTTGTTGTTTTTTTGTCGTTCAGCAAAAGGTTTTCAGTTATTGTTTTCGTGACTTTGTTAGCTTTGGATAACGCTAATGATCTTGACAGGGGGTGTTTCTTCTCTCTTCATGAAACTTTTCATTCATACAGGTGCTCATTTGCACCGCGTGGCTCATCATGGCGCCCCCGACCCCTCGCCAGCTGATTCCGCGTGAGAGCGCCGTTGTCATTCTGCTTTGCGATGAGGGCTCGCCTGTGGCCTTCGGTTTGGTCCTGGGCTACATCGGCCTGCTGGCCTGTCTCTGCCTCCTGCTGGCCTTCCTGGCCCGGAAACTTCCGGACAACTTTAATGAGGCACGCTTCATCACTTTTAGCATGCTCATCTTCTGCGCCGTGTGGGTGGCATTTGTTCCCGCCTACATCAGCTCCCCAGGAAAGTATTCCACAGTCACTGAGGTATTTGCCATCCTGGCCTCCAGCTATGGCCTGCTGGGCTGTATCTTTGCACCAAAGTGCTACTTAATTCTCTTCAAGCCCGAAAAGAACACCAGGAAGCACGTCATGTCCAGAATGGACAGGTTTTAAGAAAGTGAGATGACAAAAGGTGAATCGCTGTATGGTGATTGGTAATAGAAAGTGCTTTAGTGTAGACGCTTTCGTGTGAAGTAAGCTTGTTTTCGATTTCAAAATATTTTTTTTCCTGCTCAGAAATACAATGAATGAATTTGACAACTTAATAAAAAATAGTGTGAGTACATTTCAAAAGTCCATCGATAGCTATATGTTGTCATTTTGGTTGGAGCTTCAACATATGGATGTAATAACAGTATTATGACAGAATCCTGAAAAAAAATATCCTGGAAATTAACAATACAGTACTTTGTATGTAGGGAAGCTGTGGCAAAATACCTTACAATGATTGCTGGTCTAATATGTTGCAATTCATAATACAACTGGATTAGAATCTGCCATTTAAGCCTTTTATTAGTCCCACAAAAGGGGCATTCTGGATGGATTGAGAGGATTATCTTCTCAGTGTTGCCTAATAATTAAAAATCATGCTTGCTTTTTATTTTACCACTTGGTGGCAGCAGAAGCTAATGATGGACTGCCTTCAGCCATATGCAGCTTTAAAAAAAACATTCTTTTTTTTTAACAATTGTATGCAAATCTATTTTCAAAAAGGCGTTTTATTCTTTCAGAATGTTTTTAGATTTATTGATATTCATCCATGTAACATTTGTGAAAGCGCTGTATAAATAAAGATATATTAAACTCACCACACCGCAACATAGAGTGAGGTCAGACTTATTGTCATAACAGCATATCGACAAGGCAAACACTTACTAAATATCTACATATGAAAAAAGAAACTGAGAGGTTACTTGAATACATATTTATACAATACATTATATTTAGAAACTACCATTTGGACCACACTTGCCAGCAGAAATAGGTAATATTATAAAGACATGAAATATTTTACACTAAACTGTAAAAAAGACAGCAAAACTAAAAATCAAGTCTCATGCTGAGTCAAAAGCCAAAGAATAAAAATGAGGGTTTTTTTCGACAAGTTTTAAAGATGCGCAGTGGGGAAGCTTGCTGAACGTTTTGTGGGAGGTCATTTCAAAGAGAAGGACCAGCAACGGAAAAGGCTCGATCCCCTCTGAGCCTCCGCTTAGTTCTCGGCACCTCTAATAGTGTCAGACCTAACGCATCGGGCAGGTGTGTAGGGGCAGAGGAGCTCAGTAAAATGCGGGGGAAGGCCATTAAAAGACTTGGAAACAAATATTAGGATCTTAAAAAGAACTCTAAAATGTATTGGGAGCCTGTGAAGCGATGCCAGAGTAGGATTTATGTGCTCCCTCTTAACGTGTACCAGTCAAGAGGCGAGCAGCAGCATTCTGGAACAAATGGAGATGCTTCATGGAGGACTGGCTGACTCCAAAGTAAAGTGCATTACAGCAATCCAGCCGAGATATGACGAAGGCATGAATGACTGTTGCAAAGCGCTCTTGAGAAAGGAGAAGCTTTACATTAGCCAGCTGCCTAAGATGAACAAAGCTGGAGTGAACAACGGCACTAATTTAAAATCACTGTCCGGTTTAAGACCCAAGTTCGAGACCGTTAGCTTCAGATAAGGAGCCAGGCGACCAAAGTCCACAGGATGGGATGTACAAGAGCCACTGGTACCAAGCACTCTCACTTGCCGTCTTTTTATTGAAATTGAAGTAATTTACTGCCATCCAGGTCTCGATTTCCTCGAGACAGGATGAAAGTGGCCTCAGTGAGAAAGCATCTTTTGTATGTTACACTAATTATGAATTGATGTAGTAGTTGTCTGCCTTACTGCTGCAGAAGAATCCGTATTTTTAGAACGTACGGGTAATAAATAAATAAACAAATAAACTGGAAGGTGATAGAATTAAGATTCAACTTAAAAATTCATCGTTTGTTTTGCCGATAAATGAATCGAGTGATCTTAGGTCATGTGACTTGCTGTAGCTACTGTCGACTATTCTATGGATGACCCAGAAGGCAGTGTTCAGTCATGGGGATGGAGGCTCACTAAAACCCTAAAACCTGGCATTGTGTTGACTCCCCCCACCCCAACTTTAATTTTCTCCGTTCAAGATTTCTCCATCTGCAGTATAATGCACGTGCTAATGCGGTTGATTGGCTGTTGAGGTATTGGTGCGTGGAAACGAGGACGGGCGTGTTGCTTCAGTGCAATTACCAGGCGGTATTGATTATCGGGACAAATTAGGATGTGAGGCATGAGAGAGACAAGGAGGAGGCAAGAACTGTCATCCTCGCAAGAGCAAAGCGTTGGCCCAATTACGCCACACTTCCTCACTTTCCTTCTTCCCCTCATCTTTCCTCATTTCTTTGTTCTCCTTCCCTTGATCCCCTTCAGCATTAGTTTAACGAGAACGTTAATAAGCCCTCACGTCATAAGATGTTTGGATGGGTTTCATGTGCTTCCGTTGACAAAACTGCAAAGGAATTAAATCCCAGCCAAGTCAAGTCACTTGATTACAAAAGAAGTTATTTAATTTGAATTAATCACTGGTGATCACATATTTTGCACAATAAGTAATGTTTTCTATCACTGCATCCAAAAAGATATGGGCAACGATCAAAATGTAACTTTTTTTACACTTGAAAATTCCTTTATGTTGTACAATTTTTCAAATACAAAAGGTCAATGTACGATAAAAGAGTCAAATGTTGAGCTTGTAATTCATCCTTTTGTTGTAAGTTCAGGGATCAAATTAAGTCGTCGTAACTAGAATAAAATTTGATTACGCTGTCGCTGTCCATAATGTACATAGCTTTACTTCATCCTTTCAACTTTGAGAGAAGCTGCGTTCGATTTTCTTATTCAAGTGACCCACAAGAAGTCACGGCTAATTGGTGCGCATGCGCTAACTACTTCAACTTCCTAATTATTTTGTGCCCACGATGTAGTCGTCCATGCACACGAAGTAGTAGTTCGTGTCCGGAACAACGCTGTTCCTGATACGTTACCGAACTTCCCAAGTGGAGTTAAAAGGTGTTTCATCGAGGTGGTTTACTTTTGAGAAAATCTTCTGGGTAAGGAGGTCCACAAACTGAGAAGTAAGAACGCAAATCGTGAGATAATTATGTCCTCTTGCTCATCTTTTGAGTTCATTGGCACAACACAAGTTTGCTCTGGCTTTAGTGTTCCAAGACAAACGTTATTGCTTCATGGAAAGTTGGGCGGTTAGATTCTTAGTCCCCCCCCTCCCTAAAAAAAGGCATAAAATACCACAAAAATACTGTGATAAGTCTTGGGTAATTCTGACCTCATGCTGTCGTAAGAGTCAGCCTTCAAAAATGAGTCCTTGTTCCAGTCAGTCCATGAATCATCAATTTCTTGAAATCTAGACTATTTTTTTTATTTGAGTGTCAGAAATGAGAAGTTGAGCTTTAGACATCTTTTGGCAAGGTAGTTCAAGAAACAAAATAACAAACGGAAAAAAAAATATTTTCATTAAAGCAATGAAATAAAAACAAGATTACTTTATCATCGCCAATTTTGACTTGATTTGTCCCAACCAATCTGCCCAGCACCTTGGAACCAGTGCTGAGCCCCACTGGAGGCTCTCCCACTCATAACACCATCATAATAAAGAGTAAGCAGAACATTTTACATCGATAGATAGACAGATAGATAGATAGATAGATAGATAGATAGATAGATAGATAGATAGATAGATAGATAGATAGATAGATAGATAGATAGATATGTGGCTGCTAAGATACATAAAACCAGAATTGGTGTTTATCAGCAGCCTTTGACAGTGAGAGCCCTCCACTTTGGGTCAAGAGTGCATCAGTGTGGTTTCATCTCACATGAAGCACTCAGGAGAATTACAACCCCGTGTGTATTATTGGCATCTGCGTGCGTGTGCGCGTGTGATAAATGCATAAAACGGAGTGAGAATTGCCTATTGGAATACTCAGTATCCCACGCACAAATAGGCAAACCCATGCACGCACATTCGTGTGTGTGCGTGTGTGTGCGTGCGTGCGTGCGTGTGTGTGTGTGTGTGCGTGCGTGCACATGTGTGTATGTCTACTGACAGCAGGATTGTGTGGGTAGTGAGAATTCTCACAGCGGATGTCAATGTTTCTGCACACTCATGACAGGAGGTGACCATCAGTGTTTGCATGCTAAACATATCTTGAGTTGAGCACCACGACTACTGTATGTATGTACAGTAGCTCTCAATCCGGCTCATGGTTGAAACTACTGATGATGAACTGTATTGCACCGCATGTTGTTTATGTGTGTGTGTGTGGTTTCGAAACTCTATATATATATATATATATATGTGTGTGTGTATATGTGTATCATCTTCATTGTTGACTCATACCAGTCACTTGGAGGCTTAGCAGAAACAAGAATCACTACATTCCAGATGGATGGATGGACAAACTTTTCTTTTGGCACTGACCAAAAGAAATCATCTGCTGGTTATCACTCTAAAATGCAGCAGAGGAATGTTGATCATTTTCATGCCTTTTGAGTTCTTTTGAAAGGAAGCTCATTTCAGATGTTTGTTCACCCGCACGCTGGCTTCACAGTGCAGAGGTGCAGGGTTCATTTCCGGCTCCGGCCTTCCTGTATGGAGTTTACATGTTCTCTCTGTGCCTGCGTGGGTTTTCTCCGGGTACTGCGGTTTCCGCTCACATTCGAAAAACATGCATGGCAGGTTAGTGGAACACTCAATATTGTCCCTCGGTGTGAGTGTGAGCGTGAATGGTTGTTCGTCGATGTGTGCCCTGTGACAGACTGCACACACAGTAATAATTGACCTCACCCACAGTCGTTGAAATATTTTATTTTTGAAAGGGGAAGAAAATGCTCTACAAGACGATGGTTATGTTCGTATAAAATATGGAAATACAGGCAACTGAGGTATATCTGTCTTTCTACTGGTGAAGCGGGGCTCAGAGAAAGAAAGCCTGAGTGAACGATTTTTGTGAACGGATGACAGAAAAAACATTGAAATGTCTAGAATGATTTCTTTACAAAAGGCAAAGGACTTTGTGTTATTGTATTGCAACCTGCAGTTACATCTGAATAAGAAAAGTCGCCCTCTCCCTGAAAAAAAAAAAAAAAAACTTCCACAAATAACGGCATGCACCTTAGAAGAGATTCCAAGTTGCCAACAGATACATAAATGGAAAATCCAACAATCGGATATTACGGTACACATATTTTT